AAGAGTTACTAAAACTGAAAAAGATACAGGTCATTATTGGATTGCTTATCTATATACTTTAGGTCAGGGGTGCCCAATCCTGTTTCTGGATATCTACATTTCTGTAGAGTTCAGCTCTAACCCTGATCAAACATACCTGAACCAACTAATTAGGATCTGAAAGAGCACTTGATAATTACAGACAGGTATGTTTGATCCGGGTTGGAACTGAACACTGCAGGTAGGTAGATCTCCAGGACCAGGATTGGGCACCCCTGGATTAGGTATAGTATCATAAGTACTAGCTGATTATAGGAAATAAATATCACAAGCCATGTAAACAGCTTGCCATATAACATAATCAAGCTATACTCTTACCAGTATTTTAGTCTCATAATTGTTTTAGTGGTAAATATTGAGACCAGTTTAATAATATAGCATGTTTCTCCACAGCAAACATTCTGCAGTATATTCCTTGATAACCATATGTTTTATCTCTGCACTTCAGTTTGTTGTTTCCCCAGATTTTTCTGTCCTCAGTCTGGCTATCCTTTCTCTTTTGGGAAAAAAAGAGGTTGTACCATTGTATTGGCACAAAATTTAATTGCACAAAAAGTACTGTAGTGGTGCATTGATGGTATCAATATGCCAATATAGTGGTACCGAATGATGTACACATAACAGTTTGCATTATAAGATACTTTAAAGAAAACCATGGTAGTAGCGTGGTAGATATTTAAAAACATTGTATAAACCATGGCAGTGTTGGTGTGAATCCCTGTTTGGAGGTGTAAAATCATAATATTTCCCAAGTATGTTTCCACAGATGCATTAAATTGGTAATGCACGTTTCAGTTTTTTTCTCTTCTGAGTTTATTAATCAGAACATTACTAAAGAAAGTGTGTTAACCATAGAGCACAATTTAATTAATGCAACGTGTGTCATAAAGTGATATATATTCCCCACACAGGGTAATATGCAGGTCTTTACCCTCAGGTCTTGGCAGAGCTTTTCCCTTGGGGCTGTTGTTTTACTACCAGCCTTCTTGGCAACGTCTCTTTCTCATTTTGTCTGCCATTGTACTGAGCTCTTTCCTTTTTACATTTATCATGTTCTTCCGTCTGATAGATGTCCTCTCACTGGTACAGTATCTGATCAAAGGAGGTCTGTGTTATTTCAAGGCAGATAATTACTTCGGTTAGGTCAACAAATCTGTGACAATGCTCAAGACCAGAGTCAGCACTGACCTCCAGGCCCTCCATATTAACAAACTACAGCATTTCTCTCTCTCTCTCTCGCTCTTCTCCATTCATTGGTGCTGAGTTAACCTCCTGTCTCTTGTTACATGAAGATCAATAGAAATGGAGACAGCTTGAAGGGAAGAAAGCTGTGAGTCATATCAGAAATGCAGTTTTAAATTAATTTGGTTGGCAGCAGTAATAGGCTACAACAGATAGTGTGCTATTTCTGTACATTTTAGTATGGCATTAATGTGGCACAGGCTGCTGAAGGATGATGAAAGACTGAAGTCAAATGAAGGATGCTGAGAGAGTATCTTGCTTTGACATATTGCTCCTCCTGCCAACATACTTATCTCTCTGACTGTAACGATGTATCATATTCCTTCTTTAACCAGCGCCTTTCTCTGTATTATGTTCCTCTCTCTTGCATAGCCCACTTCCTTTCAGTCATTTTCAATTAACCAAACCACAAATACAGAATCGTAAGATTCAAGTAGCTACTGCAGTAAATCAAAGGCCATAATCCTCTTTCTACTTCCACTCCAATGTTAACTTCTGAATTTGTGGTTTGGTTAATAGAAAAAGAGTGAAAGAAAAGGGGCTATGGAAGAGAGATTGTTATAAAGAGTGTTTGAGCGATTGCAAATGCGCATTTCAAATCTAGAATGTGCAGTTGTATTTATTTTTTTAATGTCTTAACATGGACAAGATTTACTGTATTTTTTTTCTTTCAGAAAACTTCACGTGCATCCCAGTCAACATCTTATATACAAAGAGAGAAGCATTCAGCATTCCTCATTCTTTCATTCTTTTTCTAAGTATTAAATATTTACATGAATACCTTAGATTACAATACAAGTTTTGAAGTACTTATAATATTATTTTGCTAAATGTTTGAAATAACGGTCCTGTGAAATCAGACTGTGAAGGATTCTCTTTGTCATGGCAGGTCTTTTTGAATGCATGAGAGAAAAAATGAATTGCAAACAACACTGTTGTTTATAGACTGAAAATACTTAAAAATTCAGAATACAGTTGATAATTAGAATTTGCATAATGTTATCCATTAGGCTAAAAAAATAAGGTTCTAAAATAAACTAGCAGACAGTTTCTCAAAGAGCAAAGAGCTTCTCAACAAGTGTTAGCATACCTTTTCTGACAATTGCACTAAAAAGTGCTTGTCTGGAATCTCATGTTTGGTGTAAGGTAATTAAGTCTATAATTTGCAACCTAATGTGCATGAAATTAATTTCAGGCCAGACCAAGAGTGTTTTGTAATTTAACCATACAGGTAAATTTGCAAATATAATTTGATATCTATTTTTCTCCAGGCAATAAAATCCTAAACATGTCTTAATTATTATAACCTATTGTCCATATGCTCACTCTGACATTTTCTCTCTGCCCTCACCTCTCTGCAGCAGCGTCCGGTGAAGCAGTCCTTGGCTTCCTCTCTGTGTTGCGAGTCTCACTGGAAGTGTCTTCTCCTCACTCTGCTCATGTTTGGCTGTTTTGGCACACTGGCCTGGTGCAAGCTGTGCAAAGTTCCAGTGCTAACGCCGACAGAGCCCGAGGCTGCGGTTGTGGAGCCTGGAGACCCCTCTACAACCTCAGCAAGCTCCGATGTCTACATCCCCCTAGAAGTGGATCTGGATAGTCCCTGTTCCAGCGGCTACATTTATATTCCTCTCGCGTTCCTGGCAATGCTGTACGTGGTCTACCTGGTGGAATGCTGGCACTGCTACTCCAAGACGGCCATGTTGGCTCAAGCAGAGGTTGCGGAGGTTTATGAGCGTGTGCAAAGGCTGCAGCAAGCAACGCCGTGCATCTGGTGGAAGGCCATCAGTTACCACTACGTTCGACGAACAAGACAGGTAACACGCTACCGCAACGGGGACGCCTATACCACTACACAAGTGTATCATGAGCGTGTAAACACGCATGCTGCAAGCTCAGAGTTTGACTATGCGAGGTATGGCATCAAAGACGTTTCGAAGGAGCTTAGAGGCCTAATGGATTACCCAGTGGTACGGCTGCGCTTCACCAAATGCTTTAGTTTCGCCAGTGCCCAAGCAGAGGCTGCCTACCTCACCCAGCGCGCACGTTTTTTCGGTGAAAATGAAGGGC